ATGCAGAAATAGAAGTATAATGATGTACACCTGAAATTTTTACAATGTTATAAACCAATGTTACTGCAATAAACAAAAAATTTAAAAAAAAATTCACTCATTCTAAGTGTATAGTTAAGTGATGTTTAGTGTATTTATCGAGTCATGCAACCATCCCCATAATCCAATTTTAGAACATTTCTGACACCCCGAAAAGATCCAGCATGCCCATTTGCAATCACTCTCCTTTCTCACCTTCAGCCCCAGACAAACATTAGTCTGCTTTCTGTTTCTATAGATTTTACTTTTCTTAACATTACATGTAACTGGAATCATATGACATATGGTGGTTTGCATCTGGCTTCTTTCACTGAGTATAATGTTTTTGGAGTTCTTCCACGTTATAGAATATATCTATACTTCATTCCTCTTTCTTGCTAAGTAGCATTCTGTTGTATACATATACCATGTTTTATTTATCCATTCATCAATTGATGGACATTTGGGTTATTTCCAATTTTTAACTACTATGAGCAATACTGCTGTGAATATTTGCTGGACTTGTCCTGGTTCTTTCTACCTTGGACTTTTTGATAGACTAGATGGGATCTGAGATGAGAGAAATCAGAATTACAATTTTTTGTTTTTACTGTTGGATTTTCTTGACTGAAATACAGACAGGAAATGTCAGGGTGAAAGTTTCCCGCCTTGCTACTTTGATTTCAGAACAGTAGTATCTATTGTTCTGTGTGTGAGAAGTAACACCTTTCTTTGGTCCGTTTTCCCTGTTCTCACTCCCGCCCCCTGTTCTTTTTCTCGTAGTCGGTTGGACTGCTCTGAAGAACAGGATATGTGCCTGTGTGCCACTGAGACATCCTATTAAATTATGTTTTTTTCGACTTTCAGAAAAATCTTGGCTGAGAAACTGTGCAGTAAGTTTCTTCACGCTTAGATCCTTCCCTGTCTTCTCTTTATCTTATAACCGCAAAGGTATCCCTCTAGGCTCTGACCTCTAATTCTTCTAATATTCCAGGGTAATCTTGCCTCACCTTTCATTCTCCTGCCTTCTCCTGTTACATTGTGTTCCAAATACCCTACATACCTGGCACACCCTCATAAGCTGTGTCACACAGACCTCACTGCTTAGTTTGAGGACAACTACCTATACTAACACATCTAAACTAACTGTTAAGTGACTTCTGCTGCTAGCGTGTCCTCTTACTGGCCACTTGAAGAGGAAGCTGGCTAGTGACAGTCTTCGCTAACCCCTTAGCTTATAACCCCCTCTAGTGCCTTCATTTATTGAGCATGTAATGAGGGCTAGATGCTTAGGGATACCCTTGAGAGATTCATATTCTTTAGGGGTCCATTTTATCTTCCCATGTTGCAAGTAACTTAGTCACAAGAACTAAGAAAAAGGCAGGCTGTGCTGTTGGCCCAGGTGTTGATGGCACCTGCTCCCTGGAACAGCTGTTTGTTGGGTAAGCAGCACTGAGATGTGACGGAACGTCCAGGCCATGCTGAGCTTTTAAGGTTGGGGTAGGGTGGGTAAAGGAAGGGAAGGAAGGTGACTTTACCAACATAGTATATTATATACGAGTATGTTATATTTATACGCATCAGGTAGTTAGACAGTCAGCATTCTTTGGGTATCCCGGGCCATGAGGTGCTTCGTATACTTTCTCGTGTAGTTCTAACAACATCTCCAGACATCTGTGTTACTATTTCCATTTTATACATGAGGAAACAGAAGTTCATAAAAGTTAAGTATTTTGCCTGAGTTCTCAGGGCAATGAATGGAGCAGGTTTCTGCTTTTTAAACTGTAATATTATATCCCTTCACAATTGAGATGGAGGAAATTCTGTGACTACTGAGGTGTTTGGTTGAATTATAACATCAATTTTCAGAAGTTAAGTAAAGCAGACATCAGAAATGTGGCACGCTACAAAAGGCCTTATTGGAACAATAGAGAA